AATTGGAAATGATCAAAAAATGAAATGAACTTTAAATCATGAGTTCAAAGTGATGTTTTAATTGGTCCTTGTGAAGATAGCAGGAAACCAACTTGCTCTCTTGAAATCTAGGTAAACAAAATGAAAGAATCAATGATCTTGCTTTCCCTATTTGAACTCTGCCACTGGGTAACCAAACAGTAGATAAGGAGTAGCTCCTTACAAAAGTTATTCCGGTTAATGTATGGAAACAAAATGACCACGTTTTATTACCACGATTTTGCAAACAGTATGAATTAATGGATCTAGGCACGAACATCAACGGTTGATAACATCAAGAAGAAAACAAAAACTAGACTTTGCGTGTCTCCAGATGAAAGAACACCTTACCACCTACAGTCTCGACAAAAAGGATTAAACAGGAATCTGATCAAGCCTCTGGATCCCACTTCCAATTTTCAGAAAATACAGAGGACAGAGTAACATATGGAACTGTAACAGGATTCTACAAACAGCAGAATACAGACTATGAGAAACTCTATTAGTTCTTTCACAGATAAACTGCAAGCAATGAAAAAAATGGAGGAAAACCTGCACATTTAAAAAAGGGATTAAAAGATAGATCAAGAAAACCCTTGGTTTTGTTTGTTTGTTTTTTAATGGGCAGACTAAAGCTACCACGTCAAAGGATATGTTCTTGGATAACAAAGCCATCAAAAAATACAGGGGGGGGGGTGACTCTTGATTGCAAAAGTCAGAGTATTGATTACTTTTAGAGGAAACTTAAAGATTGTGATTTGTATGAGTAACATGAAGAGGATACTGGTGTGGCTGGCCAAGTCCATTTTGTTGTAATTTGTTTGTTCCTGTATTTTTTATTTTACAATTAAGAGGTAATTTTGTAAGTGTCCATTGAGTTTAGCATTACGGGAAAAAGAATTTTCAATAGAGCTGTAGAACAAAAGTTAGACTGCAGTGAGATAAGAAATGAAAGTTAGAAATGGGAACAATAAATGTAGACTTCGGTTGCTAGAAGTGTGCCTGAAAATGGAAGGAGAGAGCTGTAAATTTAAGATGACATAGGGCAAAAAGAGAGAGGTTTTCTCTTCCTTTTGTTCATTTAGTTTAAAATGATTGAGACCTGAACAAGTTTATGTGCCAAAGGGAGAGAAAAAATAGAAGAGGGAAGTTTGGAAGAAGCATTTGAGAGCAGGGTAATTCACAGAACAAAATCCATAAGGAGACTAAAGGGAATTTAATACAAAAAATAGGTACAGGTTGACTGTAAGTAGGAGGCTAAAAGTAGTCATTTCTACTGAAACAATGAAAAGGAAACAAAGAATTCATGGTGAACTTAGAGACGGAGGGCTAACAGCTGGACGCTGAGTAAGTTCCCACTAGCTGTTCTATAGGAAAGGGTTATCCGCTGATACAGGTGGGAAGTGGGGAGCATAAAGTATTCAGTGCATGTTTAAAATACCCAAAGTGGCATTAGAAATTCCACAGAGACCGCAAGCTGAATTTGCAGCGATCCTAATCCACTCCATTTTGTCATTTTCTTCAGAAACTTGAGTGTCAAAAAAACAAACAACCTTGAGTGTCAGATTACAGGAGGGTGGATATTTAAATTGATGAACCATTGTTGTTCATTTGTATTTTCAGATCAGCCTCTTGAGGCAGGGGAGCTGACAGCATGGGCAGCAGCAACTGATTAAGGTGATGGGGAAGGACAGAAAGGAGAGTATTGATAAAATGGAGCCAGAGGAAGAAATAACTGAGGCTTAAGACACTGAGTGAATAGGGATATGGGATGAAAAACAGATTTAGGAAAAAAGATAATGAGTTCATTTTTTTAATATTCAAGTTTTTTTTAAAGATTTTATTTATTTATTCATGAAAGACAGAGAGAAAGAGGCAGAGACACAGGCAGAGGAAAAGCAGGCTCCCTGCAGGGAGCCTGATGTGGGACTTGATCCCAGGACCCCAGGATCGCTGCCCCGAGCTGAAAGCAGATGCTCAACCACCCAGGCACCCCTAATATTCAAGTTTCTATGTCCAGTTCTAAATGTGAACCCAGATGCCCAGAAAGGAGATCTGGCCTGAAACTGCAGATTTCAGAGGCATCACCTTAAAGAAAATATATCTAGTAAAAATAGAATATTAAAAAAAAAAAAAAAAACCTGAAGAAAGAATCCTGAAAAACACTCTGGCTTACAGATCAAGTAGAGAAATACCAGGTGTCCTGGGAGGGACAGGCCAGAGAGGTAAGGAAAAAAACCCAGGTGAGAGGTGTCTCAAAAGTCCGGAGAAGATAGTTGGGTGGGGGCAAAAGCGGGGTGAAGGGGAAAACGTCAGTGCTGCTGAGATGTGCAAAAGATGTCTTATTCATTTTTGTTTTCTTGGTGTCCAGGAAAATGTGTGGCACATAGTTGGAACTCAAAAAGTGTGAACTTCAGTGTTACGTCCATTTCTATACCCAAGTCTCACTTCAACACTGCTAGAAAAAGAAAAAAGAAAAAATATCTTACTCACTCAAATGCCCATACAGGTGCCATGTCTCTCCATCCCAGCCCACTGAAAATCATCCTATAAAACAAGGCATAATCCAATTTTTCCCAAACTGCATATGCTTGTAAAATAGATTGACTCATTGAAACAGTAAAAATTCAAAGTTTCCTTGCTCTTGGGCCCATGTGAGATTGCAGGGCTTCCAGCTCCTTAAGAACATCCTCCCCATCCCTCACCACAAGTGTCTCTGAAACCTAAGATGTGTCTCACAGGTGCTCATACTGGGGCGCTCTTTCTTACTGGGTGGTTCAGTTTCCCATACTGTCATTTCAAGAGTACTGAGGTCTCAAAAAAAAAAAAAAAGTACTGAGGTCTCCTGCTCTTGCAGCTGTTGATCCCCCAGATGCCAGAGACCCCACCAAGTGTTATTTCTCTAGCAGGCCACCTAGGTCTTCCATCAAGCACCACGACTAAACATCCAGATACCTCAAAGTTCCAAAATTCCATGGCTCCCTGGGAGGAATTGTGCCCTCTCCCTTCTGTGTTCTCCTCTGTTAGATGTGTCCCCACAGCAATGTTGCTCCTGCTTCCATTGTCCTACAGACCTGAGTGGAAGAGTGCGCTCTCTCTCTCGCTCTCTCTCTCTCTCTCTCTTTTAATTTTACTCCTAGGTCTCTTTTTTTTTTTTTCCTCTCTCTAGGATTCAGACATGGATTGTTGTGATATCTAGCTTTTCATATCCATCCATTCATTTCATAACTGGGTTTTTTAAGTGTTTGATGTCAAAGACTGCTTAACTTAAAAATTAAACCATGTAAATGAGAGAGAACTGAAATGGGTTATAAGTAATTGAAATCATACAGAAGTCATTTTGCAACGTGTTTCATGGGTGCGTTGTTGACAAAGCTGCTGCCGTTCTTAGTTCTTCACTCTAGTGTCCCATCATTACCATAACTCAGCTACTTTCTCAATCTCTGAGCAACCTTCTACTTCTGTTTCAGTACCAGAGTACAGACTGCCTTCCCACATGTCCAGGTCAAATTCCCAAGAAAGAAAGGAACTGTACATACAAGCTAATTACCATTGCTCTTATATAGACATTTGTGTCAGGACACCTTTGCATCAGCAATGACCCAAGTTAGTCTCATGTGATACCAGCAAGAATACATGCAGAAGGAACCTCCCAGAAGGGGTCACTGGGAGTGACAGCATTCTCAGATGTGACCTTCCCCCACCAGGAAATAAGAATTCCTGCACATAGTAACCTTCAGTAGAGATCATGTACTAGGCACCCAGCTCTCAAATATTAGTTTTAGTTCTATGGCTTAAAAAATTCCTTTGTATGATATTAAGTCCATTTAGGATATATTTATCCTTCCAGTTTTATCTACTAATATAGCTTCACTTGAATTCTAATAATGGTTAATATTTCGGGGGTGATAATACTATGCCTGGAACTTTTCTGTTATTAAGTGGATTCACTCATTTAATCCTCACAACATAAAGTATTGCTATTACCCCTATTTTATCAGTAAGAAAACTGAGACACAAAGAAGTTAAATACTTGCACAAGGGCACACAGATGGTAAGTGGCTGGACAAGAATTCAAACCCAGGTATCATGGCTTCAAACCTCAGAACTTAATCACTAAGCCACGCTGTTTCTCAAACATCAGAGAATCATTACTAACATAATAAGAAAAAGAAATAAATAATAGGAATCATGAGTGATTACTGTATGTCCAACAATGGGCTAAGGGTGCTACATATAAGGACGCAAAAAACTGTTTTGTCCTGTTGCCATGTCAAAAGACATCTGCATCATAGTACACAGCCCGAAACAAACCTACAACGTTTCCTCTAAGCATCCTACTAGCTGCCCCGCCCCCGGGTTTGGCAGTGTCCCGTCGTCGGGTTCAGTAGATTTTCTCGTTTCCATTGTGATTTCCTCATCAACCTAGTAAATACTTATAAGCGTTTTTGTTCGATTCTAGACATTTGGGGAGCTTAGCGTTCTCATTCATACCTACTTTAAGTCCACTATGGTCAGGGAACATACCCTGAGCGGCTTCGGGTGCCGAATGCTGCTGGGGGCTCTACGGCTCAGTGTGCGCTCAGGTTTGGTCAATGTCCCACGTGCATCTCTTTCCTCTATTTTCAGCTGCTTCGAAGGACGGACTGTAGCTTAGGAACCCTCGAGAGTCCCTTTTAACACTACACGTGAGGTTCTGAGCATAAGCAGTCGGTGAGGACTACTCTCGTCCGCGATCGCCTTCCAGGGAACGCTTTTCTCCGCCCCTCGGAGGAAACACCTCCTGCGCCGCTTCGCGCCCGCGCCGGCCGCCGCCCGGCCCCGCCCAGGCCCCGCCCAGGCCCCGCCCAGGCCCCGCCCAGGCCCCGCCCAGGCCCCGCCCAGGCCCCGCCCCAGAGGAGGCCGAGGGGCGGGGCCCGCCGCGGCGTGCTGACGTCAGAGAAGGCAGCGGCGCTGACGGCGGTGGCCGGTGCGAGCGCGGCGCCGGGCCGGGGCGGCGGCTGGACCGCAGGACCTCGCGCGGCGTTCGCGGGCTCCGGGGCGGCGGCGGAGCCCCCTCCCCGGGGAGGCGGGGCCCGGGCGAGCTCCCCGGCGGGGGGAGCGGCGGCGGCGCGGAACGATGCATCAGAAGCTGCTGAAGAGCGCGCATTACATCGAGCTGGGGAGCTACCAGTACTGGCCCGTCCTGGTGCCCCGCGGCATCCGCCTCTACACCTACGAGCAGATCCCCGTGTCCCTCAAGGACAACCCGTACATCACCGACGGCTACCGGGCCTACCTGCCCTCCAGGCTGTGTATCAAAAGGTAGAGTCTGGCCGCCCCCGCGGGGCGCGCCGTGGGGGGCGAGCCGGCAGCCCTCCTCCCCTCCTACACCCTCTGCTTTCCCCGCGCTGGCCGCTTCAGAACTGCCCCCATCCTTCTCATTCCTTTTGGCCATCTCTCCCCTCTCGTTACCTTCTTTTCCCCCCGCCTGGGTGCTTGATGCACGGAATAATAGTGACAGTTAACAGTGATTCTTACCTCCACCGTAGCGACCTCTCCTATGGAGCTTTGCAGCTTACAGGGGACTGGTACATCCTTTCTCTCCTTTGGGGCTCATTGGAATCGACTCCACTGACAACGGCCAAGCGATACTTGCCCCGGTGTATACCTAAGCTTTGTTTGTTTTCAGATCAGCCCTGTGGAAATCTAGATGCTTTGGGCCAGATAAATGTTTAACATGACATATAATAGGAAGTCATGTTAATAGGAAACAAATCCACATTGCCATGTGCGCATACGTACGTGTATATGCGCGTACGTGTGTATAGATGCACCGGAGAGAGAGAAACCAACCCCTGACTCATTCATTCGGCAGATACTATGGAGCCCCTCCTAGGTGCCAGGCACTGTCACAGGTCATGCAGAAAACAGCAGATATGGCCCTTGTGCCTGTTCTCACAAAACGACTAAGGTTTGGTCTGTGTGACGCACATCACAGAGCTGATTAATTACTCTATTGCGTAATAGCCGTTGTGAAAGACGCTGTGTAGGAAAAGGACTATAGCAAGAGAGCCTGTAACGGGCACTACCTTCCACTAGAGCACCGTAGAAGCGTTTCTGCGAAAGGAATTTCTTCATTATCTAAACCTTTAAGACCCTTGAAAGCCTGGATTTTTAGAAACCAAACCAAAAATCAGTGTTTTGACTTTTAGAATAGCTTTGTGTTAAAACTCACTGTAGATGCTTAAATATAGAGCCCTACCTTAAGAGCATTAAGGTACAGATATTGGTGAGTTCTAGGATGCTGTAGTGACAGACCCCAGTGCTGGAATGTAGGCTGCTGAGTTGCTCCAGAAGCAGTCACACATCTGATTCTTTGGGGTGCTTTTCAGCATGGTCTATCCCTGGTTCTTTCTGCCCTGCTTTAAAAGTGTTTTGGACCACAGTCACAAGGTGGCGTTACTGCCCATCCATACTTGACCGAATGGCCCACAGGCCTTCACAGTTTGAATGCTAAGTACTATTTGCCTCCCCAGTGTCGCCTTTGCATAAGTTATTACATAAGAAATCAGAGCTGGGACCTGGCTATGGATGTGAAGTTCCATAAAGAGAGAGCAAGTAGTAAATTACTGTAGGTTTATTATTACCCACAAAGCAGCAGTCCTCTGCCTTTTGATGTTAGTGTCCAAATTTCATGGATTGAGAAGTGAAATACATATAGTGCTTTGATCTTGAGCCGTTGAGTCAAAAAGACTTGGTTATCCAGACCTGCCACTTAACTATTTCGGGACCCTGAACAAAAGTTGACCTCTCTGAATCTTATTTTACCTTTTGTAAAAACAAGGGTAATCACAATTCCTGCTTCAAAAAATATTAAGGATTAAATGAGATTTTGTGTATAAAATGCTACACGAGGGCATGGCACCTAACAGGTACTGAGTAAATGGTGACTTGTTACCATTGTGATTATTGATTTTGAAGCTGAACAGAGAAGCCTGACTTCTCACAGAGTAAGAGTAGGTTCTTTACAGGGAATATTCTTCCAAGTGCTCTTCCCACCAGCTTGGTCTTTCCCAAGTTCAGCTTTTGCCCTCTCTTCTTTTAGCTGTCAGGAGTGACCAGGACAGCTTTTGGATGTAAGGAGAGGTTTTATATGTCACAACTCTTCTGCCAACACTCAGTTGGAAGGAGCATGCCAAGGTTGTGCTTCTCAGTTAATCAGGTTATACCAGGTTTCACAAAGTGAAAAGTTCTCAGGCAATAGGTAGAGCAGAGTATTGATCATCAAACTAGTCCTGTACTTAGATGTGTTCCTTCACATTCCCGCATCCTCACCCTTGCCCCAGTGTAAGTAGTCATTATACTTGATGCTTGTACAGGGTAAGACCTGGAATTCATGATAACAAGATTCACTTTATTCTTGATGATCATATGATAATGTGAGACCCTGTTATGTTTAGGATGTGTAACAATAGGAAAATGAGACCATGGTGATTCCTACAAATTTAGGTTACAATTACACATTTATGCTTACTAATGAGGAATCTGAACCAGTGAATGTCAAAGACCTTAATTTAAACAAAAAGATTAGATTTTGCAAGAGAAATGCAAGAGAATTTTAAATATTAGGCATGATGTCACTTTCAGTAAATAATCAGATGGGTTCTATCCACAGCTAGGGAAACATTTCACAAAATGAAAGAGCAAGAAGGGACTTGTAGTAGCATCTAATCCACCTCCCTTGTTTTATAGTTGAAGAAACTGAAGCCAGAGAGGTTAAGTGACTTGCTTATGATCACAGAGCTAATTTGTTGCTGAGGGTGAGAGTGGAGAAAAGTGAGCCTCTTGACTCCTGGTTGATGTGGTATACTCTACACCAACCTGTGCTATTAGGACTACTCTAACTTAAACCAGTTACACATATACTGAGCAAATAGGACTGATACTAAAAGTAACGTGTTGTTCCTAAAAAGGAAAAACTCATGCTACTAGGAACTAGTTTGGTTGCAAACAACTACAGCAAAGCTGTTCCAGCCTGCCTATCTTACAGTTTGTATTTATTCTGCTTCTCTCGAGTCTGTTGCACTTGCATTTAATGAGTACTAACAAGGTATTTTAGGTTTGTGCCTCACCTTATACTTAGCAGGCTTTCAGATACCAGGTTTTGAACATGAACGTATGGTAGCTAACATCCACTTTTAATCTGCACATTCATTTCTGTGGACGTTTAGCATCTGATCTGAGCAAGGCACTCTGCTCGGGACAGTGGTGTCATAAAGATGGATGGTGCCAGTCATCAGGGAGTTGATAGGCTGGAGGATGAGATGGAATTTATACATAAATAACTCAGATGAAGGAAGGAAATTGTAAATATGGTAATAGAGGTGAGCACCAAAAAAGGCCTAAGGTTTCAGGATTTGTGGAGACCAGGAAGACCCTAAAGATCAATTACACTATGTGAGCTTTCGTGTTTATAAAGGCAGACATGGGGCTAAGGGCTTAAAGTAGCAGATGTTAGAGAACTGATCCCCAAACTGTCCCTAACCTTTTAAATGCTCATGGTGAGCAACCCCAGTGTGAATCTGAGATGCATGTCTGTTTGTTTTCCAGTTTGTTTATTTTATCTAATGAGACCGTAAACATCTGGAGTCATTTGCTGGGTTTCTTCCTCTTCTTTACACTGGGAATATATGACATGACGTCAGTGTTACCTTCGGCAAGTGCGTCCAGAGAAGATTTTGTAATTTGTTCTATTTGTCTTTTCTGCTTCCAGGTAAGTCATTTCACAAACACTATTACTGGTTAAGAGAACTTTAGTCAGACAAGCTTGGGCAGGTGATCGTACTTCACACCCACCACTTGCTTTAAAGAGCCCCAAAATAGCATATAGGTTAGCATATTCATTTTCATAATATAAGCACCAAAAATGTTTTTATGAGAGTAGATTTAGACTTTACTGTCAGAATATACATTAAACCCAACTGATTTTAAAGATTGAGAAATGTCTTTGCATTTATCCTTCACTTTTTAGACATTTTGCTTTAAGATTAATATAAGGATAGGAGCCTCTGTACTCTATTTTTTGGCTGAGATAAAACACTAGTTAATGCTTAAAACTTATTTGAGAAGATTCCCCATCTGCTCCCTATTTATATGTCTATGATTTCTGCATATGTATCCGTACTGTCCTAATTTTAATGTCTTGTTTTGCTGGTAGTGATCTTTTCTGTTGCTTTACTGTTAATTTCTTTTGGTCTTTTTACATTTGCCTGGTTTCAAATACTTTCAATTTCTCTTTTCTACTTCTTCTATTTGTTAGTTCCCTAGCACTTTCATTTTTTTCAAAGATCTTAAAATTCCTTTAAAAGTTATATATAATATTTTAAAATCAAGTAATTCTAAAGAAGAAGACAAATGTGGACTGAAATCCTGCTGACATTTTTAAAATTTAAAAAGAATGCAGAGAGTACAGAAAAACATAAAAATTGAAAGCTGTCATACCCCTTCCTTCAAATATAGGCCAGCACTCCCTGCAGTTAACCTCTGGCTACCATTTGAAAGGTGCATCTATAAGTCAGCTGCACAGATGTTGTTTTCATGATGTATCATTTAATTTCAAACCTTCATCATTCAACTCCTAAGCTAAAACTTCAGAGTTAAGTGACTAGAAACAGGGGCACCTGGGTGGCTCAGCGGTTGAGTGTCTGCCTTTGGCTCAGGTTGTGATCCTGGGGTCCTGGGATCGAGTCCCACGTCAGACTCCCTACAGGGAGCCTGCTTTTCCCATTGCCTATGTCTCTGCTTCTCTCTGTGTCTCTCATGAATAAATAAATAAAATCTTCAAAAAAAAAATGACTAAAGACATATTGGGAACATCTCCCTTCCCCTTTTTTTCATAATTCTAGTTTCTGGAATAATATCTTAAATTTCACTGAAGGAAAGAATATTGTTGTATTTTTGTGTTATTATTTGAAAATTATTTTTTCTTTAAGTATTTTTAAAGTACACTCTTTTTGTCCTGATTGCAGCCTAAACATCTCTTAGAATCCACCTCTGGTTTTAAAATGGAAATGAATCAATTTCTTTATAGCTGAAGTTTTAGCTGTATCTTATAGACTAAGATGCTCTTAGTAACCATTAATAAGCAAAACTGGTTTATACTCTACTGTTAATTTTATGGGTAGGATCTACTTTGAAAATTCCACATGTTTTCCTCTACCCCAAGGCCTGCACTTTATTCCTTCATCATCCAGCCACAACTGATGTTAATTCAGGGAAAGCATATTATATTCATATTGGCTTAAGAAAACAATGCATTGCAGAACTGAAAAACTGAAATAATTACAATTGCCAATGAAGAAAAACCCAAAACGTTGCAGTAACTTGCTCAGGGTTGTTCAGCAGGACAGTAAAATCCTGTTCTCCTAGCTACTTAGTGCAGTGATCTTTGTTACGTACCATAAAAGATGCTAAAGGCAGCAAGATACTAACAACAGCTAAAGACAATATATCTTCCCTACCAAAAACTGCCATCTCTGTTATTTTTATTTTTATGAAATTAAATTTGAGGATGCCTTGGCTCAGCAGTTGAACATCTGCCTTTGGCTCAGGACGTGATCCCGTAGTTCCGGGTCGAGTCCCACATCGGGTTCCCTGCAGGGAGCCTGCTTCTCTGCCTGTGTCTCTGCCTCTCTCTGTGTGTCTCTCATGTATAAATAAATAAAATATTTTAAAAAAATTAAATTTGTAACTTGTTGACTCAATTTTCTCAAATTCTTAGCAGGCAGCATGGTAAACCACAAGTTAAGACTGATTCACATTTAGGGGTGCCTGGATGGCTCAGTCAGTTAATGTCCGACTCGATTTCTGCTCAGGTCATGATCTTGGGACTGAGCCCTACGTTGGCCATCTGCACTGGGCATGGAGCCTGCTTAAGATTCTCTCTTTCTCTCCCCACCTCTTTCTCCTTTCTCCTTCTCTCAAAAAAAAAAAAAAAAATTATATTTAGGTTTTAAAAGACACAACATGTTTTTTTTTTTTCTCTTTCACTTCTGCAGTTTTTTTTGATCACTACTTTCCCACCAAGCCGATTCTGAATAGTAGAATGTAATTTGAGGGGATTTGCACTTTCCCAGAGGTCTTTCTGTCTTAGGGAAGAGTACAATCCAGGAATGCCTTTTCCTAGATTCAGTTCATGTGCATTAAGTTTCACAAATGTTTTTTTAAATGCCTCCTATCTACATCCAGGTATTAAGCTAGGCATTATGAATACAGCGCTGAACAAAATCAGCCTGTCATAAAGATCAAGTCACCTAGGTAGGAGGGCAGAAGGGAGAGTGAGGCAGGGCTTTTAAGCAGATAAAAATAGTTTGTGTAAAGGTCCAGAAGCAAGAGACAGTTCAGCACTTTCTAGACTTGTAGGGATTGGCCTTTGTGGTTGGCTCATTAGGAGAATGGAGAAAGATGAGGCTGGAGAGAGGCAGGAGGTAGATCCTGAAATATTTGGTTATCATGCCAAGGAGATTAGATATAGGATGTCACAGTCTAATTACCTGTCTACCCTGGTGGAGTGAGATAGTCCACAGAAGGAATCTTTCCAGAAAACTGAAACCAAACTCAATTTGCCAGATAATTTTTCAGCCAGTTTTTTAAGGAATTCTAATAATAACACACTTTTTTTTAAAACAGAACGTACGAAGTATAGGTTTACTTTTTAAAAACTCATTGTTCTCTATTAACAGTATACATTTTACTTTCCTTTTGAAAAGTGTAATTTTTCTCTTTATTTTCCTTTTCACAATGAAATTACCTTTATTGTTCTTTTAATTTTAAAAATATTTTATTTAAATTCAATTTCCCAACATAGGGTATGTTCATCTCATCATGTGCCCTACTTAGTGCCGGTCACCCAGTTCCCCCCTCCCCTATCCACTTCCCCTTCTGCAACTCTTTGCTTCCCAGAGTTAGGAGTCTCTCATGGTTTGTTTCCCTCTCTAATTTTTCCCCCTCAGTTCCCCTCCTTTCCTGTATAGTCCCTTTCACTATTTCTTATATTCCGCATGAGTGAAGCTGTATGGTAATTGTCTTTCTCCAATTGACTTACTTCACTCCACATAATACTCTCCAGTTCCATCCACGTTGAAGCAAATGGTGATATACATAGACCCCGTCTTCCTTATCCCTTCATCTTTCGCTGGACACCGAGGCTCTTTCCACAGTTTGGCTGTTGTGGACATTGCTGCTATGAACATTGGGGTGCAGGTGTCTCGGTTTTTCACTGCATCTGTATCTTTGGGGTAAATCCCCAGCAGTACAATTGCTGGGTCGTAGGGCAGGTCTATTTTTAACTTCTTGAGAAACCTCCGCACAGTTTTCCAGAGTGGCTGCAGCAGTTCACATTCCCACCGACAGTGTAAGAGGTTCCCCTTTCTCCGCATCCTCTCCAACATTTGTTGTTTCCTGCCTTGTTAATTTTCCCCATTCTCACTGGTGTGAGGTGGTATCTCATTGTGGTTTTGATTTGTATTTCCCTGATGGCAAGTGATACGGAGCATTTTCTCATGTGCTTGTTGGCCATGTCTATGCCTTCTTTGGTGAAATGTCTGTTCATGTTCTGCCCATTTCATGATTGGATTGTTTGCTTATTGGGTGTAAGTTTGATAAGTTCTTTATAGATCTTGGATACAAGCCCTTTATCTGATATGTCATTTGCAAATATCTTCTCCCATTCTGTAGGTTGTCTTCTAGTTTTGTTGGCTGTTTCTTTTGCTGTACAGAAGCTTTTTATCCTGATAAAGTCCCAAGAGTTCATTTTTGCTTTTGTTTCCCTTGCCTTCATAGATGTGTCTTGCAAGAAGTTACTGTGGCCGAGTTCAAAAAGGGTGTTGCCTGTGTTCTCCTCTAGGATTTTGATGGATTCTTGTCTCACATTTAGATCTTTCATTCATTTTGAGTTTATCTTTGTGGTGTAAGAGAATGTTCTAGTCTCATTCTTCTGCACGACTGTCCACTTTTCAGCACCATTTATTGAAGAGACTGTCCTTTTTCCAGTGGATATTATTTCCTGCTTTGTTGAATATTAGTTGACCATAGAGTTGAGGGTCCATTTCTGGGTTCTCTGTTCTGTTCCACTGATCTGTGTTTGTGCCAGTACCACACTGTTTTGATGATCACAGCTTTGTAGTACAGCTTGAAATCCGGCATTGTGATGCCACCAGCTTTGGTTTTCTTTTTCAACATTCCTTGGCTATTCAGGGTCTTTTCTGATTCCATACAAATCTTAGGATTATTTGTTCCAGCTCTGTGAAGAAAGTCTATGGTATTTTGATAGGGATTGCATTGAACGTGTAGATTGCCCTGAGTAGCATAGACATTTTCATGATATTTACTCTTCCAATCCATGAGCATGGAATGTTTTCCATCTTTTTGCGTCTTCCTCGATATCTTTCATAAGTGTTCTATAGTTTTTAGGGTATTTATATCATTGTTTCTTACTATTACTATAAAATATCCTCATGTGGGAATTCAAACAAACAAAATAGTGTATGGAAGAAAGTAAAAGCTATTTGAATTACCGCTTTCTAGAGGTAACCACATTTGACATTTGTTATACACAGCTGCCTCCCACCTACCTTGCCTACCTACTTCTGAGCTATGATCATCTCTGCTTGCTGTTTTGTGTCACTTAGCATTGTGACAATGAAATCTTTCCTTGTCAATGAGAATACATACCTTGGTGTTCTGGATTTACTGTGTTTAGTCTCAAGGGTGATTTGAGAAAACAAATAACAAATATTGAATTGGGTTAGTGAACTCTGACTTGTTGCTTAGTAGCCAAAGCCACAGACTGATGAAAATATGGGACTATGGATGAAGAAATGACATTGTAGCTAAGTACATTCATTGTTTTGAATATTGATATAAGGCTATGGGGCCTGATTAGGTTTGTTTAATGATCAGACTATTGAATAGCTAGGTGACCATTTTTCTGCCTTAGCAGTTGCTTGCAAGATACTTATCAATTTGGGGCAGCCCGGGTGGCTCAGAGGTTTAGCGCCTGCCTTTGGCCCAGGGCGTGATCCTGGAGACCCGGGATCGAGTCCCACGTTGGGCTCCCTGCATGGAGCCTGCTTCTCCCTCTGCCTGTGTCTCTGCCTCTCTCTCTCTCTCTGTGTGTGTGTCTCTCATGAATAAATAAATAAAATCTGTAAAAATATATATTTATCAGTTTGACCTACTTCATATCATTTCTCTGTGCTTCATATTTATTCCTGCCATTTGCTGCACCCCCACTGTCAGTGGCTTCCGTGAGGCTCTCATTATTGCCCTTCAGGGCTACTCCTGTAACCTCCCATCCTAGCCTTTCTGTAAGACTGCACTTAAAATCTTCAGTACTATCACACCCCCCCCCCATATTGACTTTAAAATTCTGTGAGGTGTAGGGCTTGTCATAATTGTATGAAGAAGGCCACATGACATTCACTAATGGTTCTGTGTTTCTCAAATGCTTCTTTTCCTGTGGACCCTAAAATAAACATGTGGCTACCTTTATTTATATTCTTGGTAAATTCCAGAACAACCTTTTAAGATCCAGCTCAGGTGGCAGCCCTTCTGTGAAGGTCTTTTCCCCACCACTTCACCAAATGTACACATACACCCACAAACCCAGTCCCCTCCCTCCTCTATTTTCTCACTGTGATTTCTTACGTTACCACTTGTTTGTCCACTTGTTTTGGGAAAATCTTTCAGACAGTAGTGTTCTCATCCTGTATTCCCTAGTTCATGACACACAGCAGGTACTTAATGGCTGGAAGGAGTGTGGCCATGGAAACCTTATCAATCTTAAGAGCAGCTGCTTGAATCAGATTAGCTTTGCTCTCAGTTTGGCAGCATGTGAAGTCAACCTAAGTCATAATTATTTTTTCTTGGTTACAACAAAGCTGTGTTTGACTCACAACCCAAAAGTAAACTCTGTACGATGAAATCTCACAGATGTGGAAAGTCTTAAGTGAAAAGAGCAAAATTGCAGAACAGAATATATTAAGTGATTCCATGTGATTAAAAAGTCTGTATCATCTGTTTGTATATGTGTGGACTTGTATATCATAGGTGTTTGATACATTCATTGAGGATATCTAGAAGGACACCTAACAAGTGTTATCAGGGGCTACTGCTGGGGAATAGATTAAGAGGGGGGAGCTTATGTTTTTACATCACATAATTCTATGTTCTTTGATTAACTTTTTAAAAACATGGATTACTTCTAGTGGGTACTTTTTTAAAAGGAAACTCTTTCATGGATTAAAATAAGCCTCAATATTTTTTTAAAGATTGCATTGTATAATTTTCCCACTGCTATGCTACTCTTTTAAAATTTTTATATTATAAAATATTTACTGTTTTTAATGTCTTTCTTTATTACTTTTATCCCCATTTTACCCGTAAGGAAACTAAGAACTGGCGAAATGACATGGCTTGCTTTATGCCACAAAGCTAGAATCTAGGTTCAGGTCTGTTTGGCCAGAAAGCCTGGGCTTGACCTAACCACGTCCCTGAACGTCATACATGAGTTGCTTTTATTTCTTTTTGTTTCACTATGCTAAGATTTGTTCTATTTTCCATAGGTCTGTATGCTTTGCTCTGTGGGCTATCATCTTTTTTCTTGCCATCGATCAGAAAAAACCTGTCGAAGATGGATGGCTTTAGATTATGCAGGAATTTCTATTGGAATACTGGGCTGCTATGTCTCTGGGGTGTTTTATGCATTTTACTGTAATAATGTAAGTAACTTAAAACATTTTACATTCTACCTTTCACATAGGTCTTGGGTTCTCTTGCCATGGTTCCTTTGAACTTAAAACTAATGTAAACACTGAGTTAATAATGTTTCCACTAAATCCACATAGCTACATGATTCCTCAGATGCACATTACATATCTTTTATTTTTATGCATATAGAGCTGAAGTTAAATAACGTTAATGCTTAATGAAATTATGAAGCTCGCTACTGCTTTCCATTTTCCCCGATCCTTTCCTCCTCCTCTCAGTGAAAAAAAATAAAGGGTTTGTCTGTGAGTGTGTTGACCCAATTCTTCATAAGAAATATGTTTTCCTTTATTTAGTCTTTTACTTTTAGGTAGGCATAGAGAGAGACAGACCAGCTGGGTGGTGAGTGACTTTAACGAATATGTACCTATCCTGAGCTCTAGATCAGCTCTACTTTCTACTCTGATGTCACAAAAGTCAGTTGTTGCCTTGTGCAAAGCATTTGAAACACTGCTATCAGGTTATATAGCACCTGACCTAAAAATATTAGCCTGCTGACCTATGGAATATAACCCTCTGTCTCCTCACCTCATGTCCCAGCCGAGGAGGCAAACTGAATCTTCCACTGAGCTTAGTACATCTCACACCTTCCCATTCAGAAAGTCCTCATCATCCCTACTCTCTCCTTCTCCTGCTCTCCTACCTTACTCTTTTCTTTTTCTTTTGTCCTTTAGTTCCCCGCCCCCCTTTCAGAGCCAGGACAGAGCTGGGGCAGTATACCTACTGCGTACTTTGAATCCTACTCACAGAAGACTAGAGCCTGTCCTCTCCACAAGCCCTCCTCATGTAGCAGGTGCTCCAAGCCATACTCCTCAGCCTTCACTTAGTGGGAAGATTGGCTATAGCGCAGGATTCCTCTGCCTTGGGAATTCTAAAGTAGGATCTTTGTCTCTACACAATAACAGAGATAACTGCTAGTAAAGTGTAAAACTAGCAAAGAGAAAAAATAAATTTGAAGGAAAAGAATTATTGATTGTAACCACTTACACGTGAGCCATTTGCTTTTTTAGGCCTAATTACTTTGAAACATAAGCATTTAATTATATATGCAGTTAACCTTGTAAATTGATTTGATTTTAGTAATAAACTGTTCATATATGCTCAGCCTTCACTTACTCATTTTGCATGAAACCATTTATATCTTTTAAAAAATTTGGAATAAACTGTTAATTAGGAGCTTGTGAGTGCAGTCTTGTCATATTTGAATTGTTATACTTATTCTTTCTCTGAAACCTAATCTGTTTGCTGTTTACCTTTTCTTAAACATACCTGATAATTCAAGAGAGTCATGAGACACTTCTTACAAATCTCTTTTCAGAAAATCTAGGCTTCCAAGAGAAAAGAACCCCTGGAGCTAATGATCATTTAAAGGAAAAATTGTTTTCTTTCCTCTTGTACCTAATCATTTCCAAATATTCAATTGCTGCAGTTGCTCTTTATCTTTTGAGGAATACAGTCTGCTTTGAGAATGAGATTGAAAGCTCTGGACCCTCTATCCAGGGCAATGTGCATTTGGGCACAGAATAACCAAACAATTTGACCTGTGATCTCAGGAAGCTAATAACCCCGCAAAAGTTCTTGGAGCCCGGTTTTAAGAATTCAGCTCTATGTGGTGCTAACTTTTAAGCTTCAACTGCTCATTTAGATACCTAAATACTCTGTGAGCCCTTCAAACTAAATATATTTTAAAATGCACATTTCATGCTTTCCCATTCTCTCCCCACCCACACAAACACCACACCTGTATTATCTTTGCTCATTTGCTCCATTAGAAGCCAGTTGAATGGCCTTTCATACTGACAAGTCTAGCTATCTTCCACTGCCTTTTCACACATCCAGTCAACCATTAAGATTTTAATTTATTTTTAAAAAGTCTCCTGAATCTGCTCACATCTATGTCTTCTTTGTTCAACAAGAGTCCAAACCTCCATTGTCTCTTTGGATCAGTTATTCTGATGTCTTCTTGCTGGCTTCCTATCATCACTTTCTTTTCCACACTGATGTCAGAGTTTTCTAATAAGTCAGTTTGAAAAGCAGGCCTGTCATCTCATTCTTAAAGAACCCTGCTATTCCCCCAGTGCCAACATGTTAAAGTTCCAAATCCTCAGCCTGAAAGTACGCCTGCCCTTCAGCCTGCCTTCTCAAAATCTTCCCCACTGTATGTGTTGTTTTTTTTCCTTGAGAACTCCCTCTTCTCACACAATCATGTATATTACTCAGAAATCATCTGCTTAGATACCATGTCCCCGGTGAAGCATTCATTAGCTGCTCCAGGTAGCAAGTGCCCCCTCCACTGTCACTCTAAAACATTGTGTTCACAGCTCAGTTAACAGTACTTACATGATAATTTGTTCATGTCTGCCCCTCCCGTAGTCAAGGAGCTCACCCACTGGGAGAGTCCGTGTCATAGTCAGTTTTGTTTCTACAGGACTTCAATTGCCCCTGGTATATAATAGGTACTCAAAAAATGCTTCTGTATGAGTAGATGTGGTTTCTAGCAGCTCACCTCGGAATTTGGTGTGTCATCCTGAGAAACCTAACAGTTGTATGGAGCATGCCGTGTTTTCAGGAAGGAAGTTAATCATGTCTAGAAATGATAAAATCACGTAAATAAGTGGAATGTACAATGTAAAAGCCAGAATTATTTTTTTCCTTCTCTTATTTTTAATGACAATTAAAATTTGGTTTCCTTCTAGTATTGGCGCCAAGTGTACTTGATCACAGTGCTTGCTATGATCCTAGCGGTGTTCTTTGCACAGATCCATCCCAATTACCTCACACAGCAGTGGCAGAGGCTCCGTTCTATCATCTTCTGTTCTGTGTCAGGATATGGAGTGATCCCCACTCTTCACTGGGTTTGGCTCAATGGAGGAATCGGTGCTCCTATTGTACAGGTAGGTTGAATATAGTCAATATTTTTCTCTTTTTCTTTTTTGTTCTTTCAGTTTTACTCATTTTGGGTAAAGTACTGTAATCAGACCAGGAAGGTTGGTCTCTGTCACTTGAGAAAATATTTATAATTGCATATTGATGCCATGATTTTCACATCTATATAAATAAGCACGCCTTGCAGGAAAAAGTGAAACAGCTATTTTTTTCTGAGATGTCTTTCTGTGAAATGATATGTTCTTAATTCTCCTTCTTCTACCCTGAGTGTGTAAATACCCAAGTTCTTAACAGTGGAGGAGAACTTCCAAATGTCCAGCTTTGTGAGCTATGGCAGGGATAATGCCAGTTATAAAATAAATGTGGAACTGAGAGGAATTGATCAGTTGATTGATCTTTGTGGTGGAAAAGGAGCTGGGATAGATTTTGCCTTGGATCTATTGGGTTTGAGGTACCTATAGGATATAAAGGTGTAGATGGAGTTGGGATTTAGGTCACATTTTGAGACTACTGATCAAGATTTGAAAAATCATGACTGTCTTGGTAGCTGGAGCCATGGGAGCATGTCCCACCCACTAAGGACAATATACTGGGAATAAAAGAAAAGCTGTAAGAGTTAGGTATTATGGGGGCAAGTTGGAATGCATTTAGGAGGTAGCTCAGTGAGAACTCCTCAGTATTCTTGAGAAAGGAATTAGAAAAAACTCAAGATCTCAGAGATCCATAAAAAAATGCTTTAAGAATGCACGAGAGAGTAAACTTAAGATTTTTTTTTAACATCAGTTAAGTATGCCAGGAAATCTAGCAGAAATAATATATACTTGTTGTAGTGGGACTTTTATCTGGAAGATGGGGATTAAGTGCAGGTTTTACTCAAAAGATCATATTTTTTTTAGAAGACGGAAAAACTAATAGTAGGCTTACAGTGTACTTGCGTGAAGTCAGCAACAACATGCTAGCAAGCATTTGGGTATAAAACTTGAAAAAAAGGAAATTCCGTGATATAGCAAATTGAGTGGTATCACTTGGCCACTTTGTCAACTTCAGATGCTTTCTTCGTAAGATCAGGAAATTGGGAGAAAGTGAGACAGTAGTGATGAGGAACCTCATTGATCCTGATACCTGTGAAAACATCATTTCTCTACCAATTTTAACTCCCTAGAAATAAGTTAAAGAAAATACAGTGATGAGATGCAACTCCAGATTTAATTCTAACCATAAATGAATAACTGGTTATTGAGATAGAAGGGACCAAAATTTGAGATGAAGTAAACACATTCCTTTTGAGCTTATAATGACAAAGAGAACCAGACCTGCCTTCAGGCCGTAGATTTTTGAGAAAATCAGAGAAATATGGGAGCTTTCCTGTGTTCAGAAATCTTACAATAGAGATATAGTTGGGGAAGATAGTGGTTCTGCAAAATGGAAATCTAATGTGATCACAGATCATTCCAGTGAAGAAGCAAAAGGAGACTTCCAAAGAAATTCTCTAATCTGTAATTTTAAAAAGATGGGGAAAGAGAAAGATGAAAAGTTCCAGAAGGGCTAATCCTGGGAAATAGGGTGTGGTTTTGTTCTACAATGAGAAATCCATGTTCCTTAGTATAAAAATGTAGAATTTACGAGGGTCATGATAGTTCTCAAATATTTGTAGAGAGAAGTAATGTCTTTATTTCTTAAATAGCTTCTTGGTGAATTAGATTTACAACCAGAATTAGGAACAAAATGTATAAATTTGGGCTGGCTAATTTTCTTAGGGCAAGGAAAAGCTTTCCAACAGAGCTGAGAGATGGACTGCTTCATATAGTAGCATTTAGTAGGACCATTTGTCTGTGTTGGTAGAACAGATTTCATTGTTGGGCCAAACCTCTTGTGTCTTTTCTAGCCACAAACCCCTGGTCTTTAGTTTTTTTACTTATTCATCTGGTAACTCCATTCCCCATTTGCATTCCACCCATTCATCAAGGTTACAGTTGGAGTTGGGTGTCCTTAGGACCCTCAGCCATTTTAAAGTTCTAGCTTCTTTAGTACCCCAACCTTTAGGGCACTCAGTTCCACTCCTATGGGCTATTTCCTGCAGGGAAGAAGGAAAGGAAGATAATGCCAAGCAGACACTGTGCTAGCGTGGAACTGGACAGGGGCTCCGCCTCACCACCCTGAGATCATGACCTGAGCTGAAACCAAGAGTTGGGCACTTAACCGCCTGAGGCCCCAGGCGCCCCTGTTTGCTACAGTATTGAGAGCAAGGTTTCTGTAATTGGAGACTGTCCACAAAAGCAATTGAGATTGAGCAGGCTTACATCCTATTTATGAAATCTCCGTAATCTGTGAATTAGACTCATAATAAATTAGTGATTCTGTCACAGTAAGAAGATCTATGAAAAAATGTTTTGCTTTTCAGGACTTTGCACCCCGTGTAATTGTGATGTATGTGATTGCTCTTCTTGCTTTCCTATTCTACATTTCCAAAGTTCCTGAACGGTATTTTCCAGGTAAGCAGCACTATTATAGTGACCTCGTGATTTATTCTAAATACATGGTGGAAGTATATGCTTCAGAATATCAAAAGTTAGATTTTCTCCAATATTATTGGTCATAGAATGGCTCTCCTGTTTAGTCAAATGTTATCTAACACTTTAACTTTCAGAGGGCTTTCACAAACTTCCTTTCCTCCTCACTATGAGTTGAGCACAATAGATGACGTCACCACCACTTCATGATTATGAGCTAGTGACAAAGCTGGGAATCCTCTGTCTCCCAACTACTGCTTTTTTTGTGAAATACTATCAATTACCATTGACTTCTTTAGGTACCAACTCATCTTAAAAATTAATTTATATATGTAGAGATCCATAAAACAAAAAATAAGAAAAGAGATAGAGGAAAGTAAGACAATAATGAAAAGAAGCCAGGGTTAGGATCACTTCACCAAATACCCATCATGAAGTTCTAAAATATATAGGCCACCAATCTGCCTTTCAGCTTCCTGGCACCCAGTGCTAAGGGGAAAATAATATAAGTTAAAAGTCTTCACCTCCACAAGATCTACACAAACTAGTAACTCAATAATGTTGTCCAAAACATGAATTTGCTTGTTTAGGAGCTTTAGATCTGGAGTCAGACTGCTTGGGTTCAAATCCACATCACCCACTTAATAGCTGCATGAGCTAAACTGAGTTACTCGTACTTTTTCAGCTCATTTCCTCATCCGAGCATGGAGATAATACTTTGTTTGATGGGGTTATTATGAGGATTACATGCGAAAATGTACATGACCCATATAGCCAGGCTCCTCACAAGTAGTAAGCACTCAATACATGTTACCAACTATTACAATGATGATGTCCCTTGACCTCAGTCCTGTAAGTGAAAGATGTGGTTTAGTAAGAGAGTGATGCAAGTCCAAGTGAGCTTTGACTTGGGTCAAGAATAACAGATTACATAGAGCAGTGATTTTTTAGTTTGGAGAGCTAGAAGTAGGGCAGTGGCTCAAATTCACACTGCAAACTTGTCCCTCTTATCGTGGGTTAAGAATCTCTTCCATAGTGAATTGAAGATAGGATTATGCCACTTATGATATATGTTGAGAAGAAAGGATGAGAAACCCTGATCTAGAGAATGACTAGATCACAGAACCTCAGGCATTCTTCTGTGTACTTGTTTTTCACCACTGAGTTTTAAAAAAGAGTGGCATACAAAGACCCTGATTGTAAACATTAGGATTCAAGAACATAACTAGCATATGTCCCTTCACTGAATATCCCCCATCCTTCAAGTAGGGCCAGAATCTTCCACAGAAAAGGTTCTGGCAAAATACATTTTTATACCACTTTACTAATTGTTCTTTTATTATTAACTTCATCGTGACAAATACATGGAGGAAACTGAACTGTGAAATTTTTCTATACTACATCAGTATGGCCATAGTGCTTTTATGCCTTAAAATATTCATATCAGAAGTTCCCAGTTGTCTGGCATAGGATACCTTCTAAGAGGTCAGATGTTTTATAACTTAACTTTTCTCCTAGATGAGCTTGACATAAAATGTGCCTTGTGTAGCCGAACATGTGACGGGGTACAGGCACGGCGGGGAGGTATGGAGACTATAGGAGATAATCAGTCTTCACAGATGAAGGTGATAGTCTCAGAGGTTCATGAATGAGTGGCTTAGAAACTTTGTCTCGCCAGTCCCCATTTATGACCTGGCTATAGGGAAAAACGTGCAGTGGTGGTGAGATGGTAGGTGAATACTGTGAAATTAACAGATTTACACCTAATAATGTACTTTTAGCTCAGTTACATTTTTTAAAATGTAGAAACATCACAGGAGTATTTGATGGGGTCCAAAGATCCCCAAAGATGTCCATGGGCAGATTTAGGTGGATCTATCATACTTGTATTACAATATAATCAATCAGTTTTCTTTGTAATCCTCTGTATTTTGTGCTTTTGAAAATGCATGTGTGGGCTTCACTGGACTGTCAGAGTATGCTGTGGCATACCAAGAAAAGGCTCAGATCCCCTATAGAAAGGACTGTGAACTTACACTTTAAAATCTACATACTGTACTATTTCTGTTTCTCTTGGTAAGAAAAGACAGGGAAGGTTAGAGAATGTTTACATTACCTGACCGTAGAGGCACCATGATAAGGAAATGTGATTTACATTTAAATTTCTATAGCTCTGTATTTTATTTTGTTATTTTTCAAGAAGCTTCCCACATGTTAATTATTTAATCTCTTTGGAATTTAAACCTTAAGCACCAAGAGAAATAGTTGTTAGTTGTATATGAACTAACCAAACTTAATTAAGCCATAGTTACTAATTACATTTTGCAGATTATGTTGTGTATATCCAGATAGGTACAATGCGAGACAGGGAAGACACAAGGTCAAATTCCTGAAAGTAACCAAATTAGATTTTGAAAACACAGGTGGAATAGTATTTCTGAAATTCACCAATGTCCTTAAATTAGACCCAAATATGAATTTATCCCTTTAAAAAAAATATTTGGGTTTGAATTAATCTCCTGTCTCCAGGTGCTCTGACACTGTCAAAATCTTTTTTGCTGCTAAGCCATATCTCCAACGCCAGAGATAAAAATACATTCTTATTTTAATATCACAGTCAATATTCTTTTCTACCTTCCCTTCTAGGACAACTAAACTACCTCGGATCAAGCCACCAAATATGGCATATCCTTGCAGTAGTGATGTTATATTGGTGGCACCAGTCAACAGTGTATGTCATGCAGTACAGACATAGCAAGCCTTGCCCTGACTATGTTTCACATTTGTGAATTCAGGTATGGTCACCTGGTATATTCAGTTGTTAAGCAATATGTAATGGGGAGTTGTATACCCCACTGTTTCTAAGATTCACATTAGTTTTTCCTTTTTTCCTCCTATTTAATATATCATGAGTAGTACTTTATAAAAATGGAAAAATATACTTGGGAATCTGTAATAACTGCTTTATGGCCCTTAAAACTACTAATTTACTGCTTGTACAGAAAGTGAAAATTAGTTGGCATTTGTAAGAAACATCTGAAAACAATGAATGTGAAACCAGTGGAGAGATGGTATTTATTTTACTTAACACCAGCCTAATTTCCTTAGGAAGGGCTTACCTCCATGATAAAAATGGAGTCATCCTGAGTGATTACTTTAAAGAAGATATTTACAGTAGTTGATCAAGTTGAAGTGCCTAATCAAGGCTAGGGTTACAATAGCCTGTGCTTAAGACGACAAGCTAGGAAAGTGGTTTTGAATAATCACTAGCCTTTAAATACATGGTTTGTGAGAAACTGGCACTTAAGAATGATTTTCTCTTTAGCTATGTCTCCTTAGGAACATTGGATTTTTTGGTTTGCTAGAACAAAAACTTCAAACCTTTCCTCCTTTCCTTCCTTTCCATTAAGAAGAGGAAAAGAACTTGCATTGTCATTTCCCATCAGATAAAAATCAGATTCAAAACTGATTAAATGACAAGGCAACAAATTCTGTGGCCTGATAAAGGCATTAGCATTTAAGTTTTTAATTTCAAAGAATGTGACTTAGTTCTGTGTAATAATTGCACTCTTGCCAGTGGATCACAGATTTTTGGTTCCAAAATTCCTGTGGCAAAATAGGGAGTTTCGCCTCTCTGAATTTACAGTACTAAATTTGTTGATGGATGGTTGTCCCCAATTAAATGGGTGCTACTTTCAAGGCCACAGAGTCCAGATGGCCCAGTGTTGACCCTAAAATGAACCTTAAGCCTTAGAACAAAGTCATGCAGATACCCCAAATGATGACAGGATTATTCACCTGTACTCTGGTCTTTTCCTGTTTATGCACGTGTTAGCATTTTATTGACAACTCAGAGTATTGATACGCACTATCTAATATTTGCATCTGAAACATTAAATTTACTCTTTATTGTATATACCTAAAAAATAGATCTCACTGCCCTAGCATACAATGCTCTTCTTGTTCTTTGGCCTTTTCATATATACGAATTAAATCCCTTTTGAAGCAGTCATTCACAAAAACCTGTTCATTGGAATATAAAATACTCTCCAAATTTCTTAATGGGTCGGCATGAACTGCTTTAAATACTGGTGTATCTTCAGCACATTGGAATTACTAAATAGCAGAAGTGCTAATTGATGATGAAGCTTATTTCCACATTGCCATTTATACATCTTCTATTACAAATGTAATTAATGTGCCTCAGTTTATGCACCTGTAAAATTTTGTATTTCTTTTCAGCATAGCATTTTTGGAATATAAATTCTTCATGCTAGTATCTCAGCATGGAGCATCTTCCTAGTAGGCTAAGGGCGCAGTATTGTACCCTTTATGATGATGGAACACACTACTTTGGAAATAAATGCCTACTTTGCCTCTTAAGGCCACAAATTTGATCCATATGCTGAGTGATAGAAGACTTTGCTGTAATGATAATAGGATGTATTTTCCCTAAAACATCTCTTAGGGGTTTAACATGGATTTTTACATAGGTATTTTGTCATTTTAGCCAAATAAAATACACCAAGTAGTTATTAATTTTAAAGTAGAAAAGTCTAGTTATTTTAGCAGTTATTAATTTTAAAGTAGAAAAGTCTAGTTATTTTAGGCCTGGTACCATTTTTACTCTAAAATCTTCTCAAAATACAAACATTGAACTTTAAGTTCCATTTTCTCTTAATTTTTGAAAAACATTCCTGGTTTTTTTATAAGCGTATGAATTATTTAATACTTGCCACCAGACTTAATAAAAAGGGTATACTGTGTTTGTTTTTTTAATTTATAAGGCATCCAGGTCTAACCATAGGGAGGATTATAATATGTGAACACTTTTGTAAGACAGCTATACTCTCCCATTTTCATCTTTACTATGATATATTTTATTATAAAGTAGGGAATGAATGCGGATTGTTGTCAACTATAAACACTTCTGTATGTCAGCATTTACTGACCACTTACTGTGTGCATATCACTACTGGCAAATTTTTTAAGACACTGTTAACATGAAAGAATAACTATTTAAAAATTGCCTTGTAATAATGTATATTTAAGTTATTTTTGTCTTTATAAAGATTTATTAAATAAAATAAGATTAAAAGTACACTATTCAGCTACCATACTAAAAAAAACTGGTTTTAGTTTTACAATGTGTAAACTATAAAGGCTCTTTACCTACAGGCCTACATTTTAAAATTATCTATGGCTATTTTAAATTGTCTGTTGTGATTTATAAGGTTGTAGTTAACTCATTTGAGGCAATTATCTTTCTATATAAATCCATTTTCAAAAGATAGTGCTTGTCTTTTTTGTTATTACACCGAGTGCAATTGAGTAAGCTGCATGGCAAAATATGTTATGTAAATAAACTGGGTTTACTAAATATATTAAGTGCTGCTTGTCATTCTTTATAATACATAACAGCTTTAAAATCATGTTTTAGAATCAGGAATGAAGATTCAGGGAGTATCTGTCATCTTATGGCATCCCACCTGGACAAAGTAACCGATTTGAAGATTGTGATTGACTGGCATAGAGCTGTGCAACACCATTTGGCAGGTACCTAACCTAGAGATATCCTTTGCCCTGTATTAAATGTCAAGGGGCAAAGCCTGTACTTCTGGATTCCTGCCAATTGCTGAGCTGAATACATCTGTATCCACCTGAACTCATCATTCTGGGTAATTCTAGCCCTGCCAAAATGTGTGAACAGTCCGCTCAGCTATTAGGGGAGGGACAGAAGTGTCTTTTCCATGCCTTACCACAATTACTATGTTTGTATTATTAAAAATAGGTGCAAAAAAAAAAAAAGTGCAGATGCTACTGGGTACCAATGTCCCCTGAAATTCGGTACCCTGCTTCCTGAGTAGGTAGTGAGATAATGACCCAAAACTGAAACTCCCCTTAAGGAAACATTTTCACAAGGGAGAGGTTAACAGCAGTAGGGGTCTCTTGTGAAAAGTGAAGATTCCCTCCTTAGAGGATAGGAGCAATAGCCACCAAAGCTCTAGTCCTGCTTTGTAAGTCTGGGATCAAAAAACACTATGAACATATGAACATACATGTAATTTCAGTAGTGCCAACCATGTGAAGCAAAAGCAAACTATTTTTAAATGTACAGCATAAAATTTCAAAAGCTCATGCCTTCACTATGAGAATAAATAACTGCATCTTATAGATGATGCTAGAACTGGACTTCCTTAAAAAGGGATTTGCTGCTCAATAAATAGCTTTCATTGCAAGATCTGTTTTTCTCTATAAAGAACTATAACTGAATTTGAACAGTGGTACATTTCACACTTTGTACCATTTACTAAAAAGACACAAAGCCCTTATTTTTCCACATAATTTTAGATGTAAGTGTAAAAAAAAAAAAAGTTCATAGCAAGGTCAATCCTTCCGCAAGCCACCAATCTCGAGTTTGTGAAATACATAAAATAATGTGATCTTGACACCAAAGTTAGTCCACCAATCCAGTAAATAGGTTTTCTCTTTAACATGCCAAAGCCTCTTTTCTGACATAATCGAGGATTACAATATTTTATTTAACCCAAATATTTTTTAAGTTCTATATGTTACCAGTTTTTAAGAAGCTTAAGTTATACACAATGCAAAAACAATGTCAAACATTCAAAAGATACTTCAAACTCAGGTTTTTGCCGTACCTTCATTATTACAATTAAAGGTAATTGTAGCGCCTGAACAAATTGTGCTGTGAAGTGTTTTTGCTGCAAAAATGCTAGGTCACAATAGGTTTTCTTATGTAAATCCTACACTGTGAGCTTTGCCCTAAGAACAGAGATCTAATCCTATTCACTTTTCTATTCCTCTGGCTGGAGCATAATAGATCCTTAATGTCTGTAGTGTGAATAAAAGCTGAACAGAGAAGTCTACATCCAAAACATTTAAGACAAATAATGAGGAACTCCGAAGTCACTAATTAGAAAGAATATGTAATCCATTTGGGATTTATTGCATTTAAAGAAAAGCAGATTATTCAAACAGTAGGTATGATAAATACAGTAAGAAAATAATTTTAAATTTCAAACAAAACAAAGTGAATGAGGGACAGAATTCAGTCAATAAGAATAAGCAATGTAAAGGCAATGAAGTAGTAAAATCAGTTAGTGCTTAATTAGATATAGAAAGGAAAAAAAAAAAAAAGCAATGGGTTCTATCTCAGTTTCCCAGCTACATTTGAGGACTGAAGTTACTTTAGAAAGTATGTTTTGTAACAATTAGAATTATAATAAACATGTAAATCAGGTTTATTAAAAGTTAAAGTTATTTGCTTAGTGGTACATAAAAGGCTTCAGAAAATTCAAGTTTAACAAAAAATGGAAGTGTAATCAAAGAAAGTGCACTTAAAGCTGTTTGCCAGCAATTTAAAAAGTAGCTTACTATTACTATACTGCTTACTATTAGATGACCTTTCAATCCCAAAAAGAGAGTAGTAATAAAAACAATTCTTTCAAAAGTAGCACAATAGGTTTTTAAATAAAAATAACCCCAAATGATGACCCTTTGCATTTTCATCGGTCTACCTCATTCCTTTAGTGGCTTTTGTAAAACCTCCCTAGGAGTGAATGTTCTTTTAGTAATGATTGTGGTTGCAATTCCATTTAAAATTAAAGGTTCACATTAACTCCACAGTAGAGAGATGTGACATGCATGCATCTGTGTTTATATATTTAGGAAAATATAAAATTTTTCAAACATTTTTATTCTCACAGTAGATTTGTCATCTCATTCTCACAGCAGATCTGTCAGCTCAGTGTCAGACCTAAAAACAAGTAATTTTGCTAAAAGAAAAAGTTTCCTGCACATTCTACACATATTAAAACAAATGTACCAACTCCTCAGACTAGTGATAATACACGTGTACCTTCTAGCAGTGCTTATATGAAGTACCAGAACCTAAACGAAGCAGAGCAGCCGAACAGTAAGAAAACTGCTCTGCCTCATGAACAGCAGAGCAGAAGAGTGGGCTCCACCTTAACTATTTTCCACCAGCAGTATGAGGACGACAATCTATCACTGTTAAACAATAAACGGGGTAGGATCAAAAGGTGTGTCTTATATCTACAATTCCAGGTAATGTCATAACTGGATGACACAGGCAGAGATGGGGTGGGTCTGTGGAAGAATTACAGTTTCCCAATTGATACTTCTGGATAAATATTCTAGTCAGTTAAATTTTCATCTGGCCTAAAACCTTTCCACCTCCACCTAATACATATACCAAGTAACTTTTGTGTCTCAGCAGATACATTCTTCAATGACATAAAAGCTGATCTTTTTGACACTAATATTGTGCTGAAGTGATATTTAAAAAATTACGTGAATGGTCCACTTTTACAACGATTATTCAAAATCAACAAGCATTATTAAAGCTGTTAGGACAGAAATAACTTTGGCCTCAGATTTTTGCTAGCTTCGTGATTTACTTCCCTTAGTGACGTTCAAGCATGAAAGGTTTAGTTAGGACTACTTTACGTACAAAAGAAGCACAGAGGACCCTGATTAATAAGAGGAAAATAATTTCACCTTTCCTTCCTTAAACAAGAATTGGACGGTCCCACAACAGAACCAAATTTTTACTGAATGCTGTGTCTCAAGTATGTGTTAGGCTCTTTTCATGTGCCTTGGGAGCTCTAGTCTCATTATTCTCCTAAGGGAATTACCCGGAATCACTGGAGTGATCTATATCCCAATAGTGGGAGGAGATATTTGGAGGAGGGAAAGCACCCCTAATCCTGTACTCCTTGGGAGACGCCTTTACTTCAACACAAAGGAATCTCCCTACTTCTATCCTGTTGGGTTCCCTGTCAATCCTAATGTTTCCTCCGACCTATAATCTCAAGCGAGGAAAATCACTGGGGTGGGATATAATAAACATAAGAATGGAAATATTTTAAATAAGGTCAAAACTGTTTCCTTAGAATTCATCCAACGTCATAAGCCCAGAGTGTCTACATCAGTGTCTAAATCACTTAAAATTACTCAGTGCACTGAAAAGCAAGTGTAAGCAAGGCCTTGGTATCATACAGAATCTGATTATTTCATGTCTACAGCCCAAAGAGACCACACAAATTCATACACTACCCCTTTTAAATTATGAAACTCATGAGGTCTAGCAGAGACCAAGGCCAAGGACTAAAATAGCCAAAGAAGCATACTGTGTACACATGAACCAACAAATTTTCATTAAAAAAAAGTTGTTTGATACAAACCTACTGTAGTTCATGAACTTACTCTTTAATCAACTCTTCACTTTTAAAAAGAAAGTATCACTTGACTCTACTCTGTAAAGTTTTGAAGAACATCTACATGAGCATTTGCATTAGCAGTATTAATCAACCTGAGAATCAGGGGGGGAAAAAAAGGTGCAAACATAATATTTGCCTTTGGCACAAGGATAAGTAATTGGTACAGTCGGGGCTCTAAAAATACAACTCTTAAGTAGTAATATAATGCTTGGTCTGCCTCTGCTACACTGTGATTCACATAGTGCTTCCCTGTTTATCCACAAATTTCTATCTGATTTAAAATATAAAAGAGAAAAGAAAGAGTAATGAATATATAGTTTAGTAACATACACTTAGAACTGTGATAACAGGCAAATAGCTCACTCCATTTGGGGCACTATGATTAAGAGATCCTAATAAGATTACTCATAAAATACACTTTAATTGGACTCAAAGAAAGTGCATTTAAAATAGAGCAATCAAGAAGAGTGCCAGTTAATAAGAGTTTCCAAACCCTTTCTGTAAATAGCTTTAACAGTTATAGAAACTTCTAAATGTTGATAGGGAAGGACAGTTAATTAGAACTTAAAATAGCTGGAGACACAGGAAGCACAGATACTGTATTCACATTAATTCATACAGTAATTTCTAACTTACTAAACAATTTCTATAAAATCTCAAGTTTCTAATTAGGATTTGTTTTGTTAAAAAAAAAAAGGCAATTTGGTAGCCAAGTTCTTTTCACTGGATGCATCAACTAGCAGAACGGAGATGCTAGTTCCTCATCATCTAATACCTTATAGCCATTTTAAGATCTTGTGTATCAGTGCAGAGGTACTTGCAGCAGGATGCATGAGTCCTGCCTCTAAGGCTTTTTGGGTTTCACTGTTCTGTGCACTTTATTCAAACTATTCCACCCTCCCAACCTAACTAGAAAGTTGTCGCTCACAACTTGGGGAATATTTGGTGAAGGTGGTAATAAAGCACATTATTAAATGCAACATGATTTTATGTTGTCTTAAAAACTCAGGGTTTCAGCTACATATTTTTTTCCTGAAGTACAATTTCTATACAACCTTTGTCCTCACTCCCCATTTTCCAACAATCTGCTTTATTAGGGACATGACAGTAAAAGTTTTGAACAAGAAGCCATTCGAAAACAATATAAACTTCCCGAAGTAGCTTTTCTCTCTTCTGTATCATTTTTTTTCTTCTACGTTTTCCACAAGTCAGGTATTTTTCTGGTTTTTGTTCTGGGATTCTGTGTAGATATTCCTTATTAATGGCACTTGTTTTAAAAAACAAAACAGTTTTAGGCACAATAGTCCATTACTTTTGGCTCTGTTCTGTCGAGAAAGGTGTTAAGGACTAAAATCTCTGCTCTCTTCAGATAGTAACTTTTTTCATTCTTTAGGAGAACCAGATTTTGATTTTACTGTGTGGAAATTAGAAGAGACCTTTGAAAATTCACAAATCCAACCTCTGTATGTACAAATAACCTTAGTTTTAAATGCTGGATCCTGACAGGCAGGAGCCCAGAATATGCACACACAAGTGACATTCTGCTATAAAAATAATGACACAGCTTTCCAGTCCCTTTTCAGTGGCTACACAACTGGAAAGGTGGCGCGTGCTCCCCCTGGATTTCTGTGGAGTCCGATCTGGTGGCTGAAGCCCAGGGTTAGAGCTAGCAGTTGAGCTCCCTTTTCTCCTTCATGGAAGAGACAGCAAGTCACTACTCTGTGGAGATACTTCCTTTTTCTATTTGGTTTATTTAAAAATCACCTATTCTGATTGACGTGTTTGAGAGTGAATGATATAAAGAGCTATACAAATAAATTTCCTTTCAAATTCATAAAACTATTCATACTTTTTTGAAACAGGAGTTAACGCCAAGAGTCTGTCAGAAGTATCTACTGTTTAGAAGGAAATGGAGCAGCACCAAATGGGTCTAATTCAACTGACTGGGACTGTTGGGACTGATGTGAAGTGATGCTTTGCACCACAAGTTCTGTAAAGGGCACGGCACCAAAATCATCCATTTTCAACGCATCTGTACTATGGAATGAGCTGTGCAGTGAATTCGGTCTTGGTCGCCCGGGCAGGACGGGGTTGTGATCAGCACGGATGTCACTCAGGCCCTGATGTGGAGGGTGCCACGGCAGGTCGGGAGGATGGAAGGGTTTGGCACCAAAGGGGTCCAACAGACTCTCCTCGGGTTGCAGGCCATTCCCTCTATCTTTCCCATCGGTTAGTGCAACGCTAATGTTCTCCTTGGAGTCTGAGATGGTTAAAAATTCATTGCTGCTTTGAGAGTCTCGGCGGCCCACCTTTTTATGCCTGCGAGCCCTTTCTGGAGTACGGTAGGTAGGCTTCACAGTCTTCTTTGTGCTGGTTGGTGTGCCATGATGGCGCTTCCCATTACTTTTGGACAGATCCTGTTTGGTGCGCCTTTGGCGAGAAGACAGTTTCTGTAAGCTTCGCTGTTTGACTTTTTGCTGTTGACTCCCAGTTATTTCTTCAAAGGGCACAAGCCCAAAAAGGTCCTCATTGCTGTCACTTTTGCTGGTCGATGTGGCAAAGGGCTGAAATGGAGTGGAGCCAAATATATCTACACTTTTTGGACAACCTGGGGAAGTATGTGCTTCGGGCCCCACGGCACGGCAGTCCCGTACACTCACCTTCTTGCTAAAGGGGGCCTTTGTGAATACGTCAAATTCCTCTTGCTCCAGACCCACGGTAGGACTGAGGCTCTGTTGACAGAAGTTCTTCTCATTCTTTCCTTGATGAGGCTGCTGAGCACGCACTGCAAAGGGGACAGCGCCAAATACATCAAACTCCTGCTTAGGAGCCTCTACGCCAACATCAGAGGGTAATCGGGTCGGGGCGAGGAGTGTGTTACTAGGATCTTGCATTGGTCCACTGCCAGATTTGTCTCTGTAGACAGGGCTCACATCACTGTACTGTACTTTGGCCTGCTCATAATCAGAATCAGAGCTATGTTTCTCTTCTTCCTCATCTTCAGAATCCATAAGGAGAGGCCTATGACCCAGATTTTCCGGTTCGGTATCATCATCATTAAAATCTCCTTGTTCTCCCTGAAGAACTTCTTCATCCTCTTGTTCCTCCTCTTCACTGCTCTTAGGAGAAGGGGGATCTGATTCAAAATCACTTTCAGACTCGTCATTCCGCTTTTGCACTTGACTCTGTATTGATGAATTCTCTGAGGTTTTCTTTCCAGTCTGGTGGTCTTTAGATACTGGACTTGCTTTTCTATTCTTGATAGGGTTTGCAGAAATATTTTCTTGATTCCCGGATGTATTTTCAATTTTCTTTTCTGGAGAACCTACAAGTTCAAAGAAAAATTACTATTCCAATACATTTCAAGAACCATTTACACCAACACAAGGTATTGCAAGTCCCTCGCATAGAGGAAATAATGTCAATTCTTTGGGTATTGGGCATTCCTTAGGGAATGCACCTGTCCTCAACTAGACGGTTAGATCCTTTAGCAGAGAGAGATTTACTTGCCTCTTGTCTCCTACACACCACCTACTCACCTTAAGCCCTCACTGACAGCTAGGTCTTATGTATAGTACCCAGAAGAGGACTCTGAATATAGTATACAAGCAAACTTTCTTCTCCTACCTTCAGAATAGATTATTTAACTAATTGCCCCAATCAGAATCCCACAATTACCAGATCACCTTCTGCTTCTATTTCAACTCCATTATAAAGTTTTCCCAAAGAGACCAACAAGCATAAATAAATAAATTTTTTAAGCATTCTGGTTGTCTTATGGCTTAGGTTAACAACATGAGTGCATCCCCATAATCTGATCAAAGCCAAGAAACAGGTACTGAACCCAGATCATACCAAGGACATCTGCCTTCCCTAGATGACACATCTTCTGTTAACTATTATATCTTCACTACCATTAAAAGCATGCTACCTTAAAAAAAAAAAAAAAAACTACCAATATGTTCACTGTACCAAATACCATATAATTCACTGTATGGTATATAATAAAGACTGTATTAGCTACATGAAAATATACTGCCCTCCCAATACACTGGGTGTATTGAATTGATTTTCCAGAGGTAGGGATCAATTTGGACTGATCCAACCACATATCATCCCTTCCCTTCCTTTGACTAAGATCAGATATTTCAAAATAATTAGCTAGGGTTGGAGGTATAGTCTGTAGTCATGAAAACTAACCAACTTATGATGGAAGGACCATTATTTTCCTGTTATCAACATGGTCCCTATGGCATATGACACCTCTGAGTTCTTACCTTCTCTTTCAAAGTCAGCACTGTTGTCTTCCCACCTCCCTGACTATTCCTTCTTGGTCATACATGTAGAGACTTCTCTTTCACTGACATCTCCATATGCATGTATGTTCCCCAGGGTTCTGTCCTTGGCTTTCTCCCTCTGTATGTCCTCCCATGGTCTTAAATACTTGTATGTTAATTGCCACCATCATGACTGGATCTCTCTAATACTGACCACGAATACGTATCTTGCTAATACTTATGAATATGTATCCTACCATCAAACTCAGCAATTTCAAAAGAGATTATCTTTCCTCTTAAAATGTGCTCCTCACCAGCTCCCTCTAAATTAGTGAACAACATTTCTAAATAGTTATGCAAATCAACAGAAGTCTGGAAATCATAGTCCTTCCTCACCAAACGGTTAGTGTTTTTTCTTTTTTTAAAGATTTTATTTATTTATTCATGAGAGACACACACAGAGAGGCAGAGACACAGGCAGAGGGAGAAGCAGGCTCCCTGCCGGGAGCCCGATGTGAGACTCCATCCTGGACTCCAGGATCACACCCTGAGCTGAAGGCAGACACTCAACCGCTGAGCCACCCAGGTGTCCCTAAACGGTTAGTGTTTCTAAACTCTTGAATCTGTTCCCTCTCTCCCTCTATTCTTGCCTGTCTGCCCCCAGTACCATGTCCCTCAAACTGCTGCTCTGTACTGCCACCAGAATGACTTTTCTGAAACACTAATTATGTGGCTACAGCTTAAAACCATTCAGGGGCTCAGCCCAGCATAGGGTGCCCTTCTCTCACCGGATTCTGTCCTACCACATCTTTAGCCTCAGACCTGATGTCTCCCATGGGCATTCTTTATTTATAGCTCTACCTGACAGATTTACATTAAAAAAATTATTTTGAGCTATCTTATCTAACCTCTTAATGTTTGCTATCAGAAACTGAGGAACCTAATAGATTTGGGTTTCAAGGAGCACTTTGCTGTTTTAACATCTCTCTACCATTGTCACACCACCCCTTGGTAAGAACATCCTTCTAGCGGACCTGGCTATATTCCTAGACCCAGCCCATTCCAGGGCCCTGCGAAGACACCCCTTGAAAAATATCCATATTTGGGACAACTATGGAGTACTAAGTCCCAAACTTAGTACAAGCCTTAATTGTACTCTATGACAATTATTTGTTTGATTATGAGCACCTAGACACAGTCCTATTTATCATTTACCTCATTTATCCTTCTTTTCTCTCTTAGCATGTGGCGAATCAATTATTAGTGACTACTAAAGTCACTAATATTAGGGACTACTCTGAGCTCATAGCCATAGATGAAAATTCAATATATTCCAAACACAATAAAGAAAGTTACATTAAAAAATGAACTCTTCATATTTGGAGACTTTTAGCTCAGAATTCAGTCACTGCATTTTTTTTTTAACAAAAAAAAATGTTAATTTTGTTACAAAATGTAGGGCACTTTCCTGCATGCTATATGTACTGATCATACTTTGGTGAATAAAACAGTCTCTGCCTTCAGGAGTTTACAATCAAGTGTGGGGACTGGCACTCTGAAAGTCATGGGGTGGGGGAAGGGGTACATAAACCCACTCTAGACAGTCAGCAAAGGCCTCCCTAAGGAGATGACAATTAAGACTGAACAGTGAGAAGGAGCCAGCCATGCAGAGGACAGGCAGAAAGCTGCTCCAAAGAAAGACATTGACATGTTTGAGGAAAATAGGTCGGTGTGCCTGGAGGAAGGGGAAAGAGAGGGTAAAGGACCACCAGCCTGTGAAGGTGCCTTTCAGGCCATGATAAGGAGTCTGGATTTTGTTCTAAATTCAGTATGTAAATAGGAAGCCATTACAAGGCTTTATTTAAAATGGGCATCACAATCAGATATATATTTGAAACATAATGGACTGCTATGTAGAAAAAAATGGGTGAAGAGAGAGAAAAACAAAAGTGAGATCAGGGAAGAGTAAATTGTAGAAATTAAAACCAGAGATTTTGGTGGCCTGGATGATGATGGTGGCAGGGTAAGTAGAAGTGAAGAATGAGAGACTGAAGAGGGCAACAGCGCCATTAACACTGACAGAAAAGAGTGAATAAAGAATGATTGGAAAATAGAGATTATCAAGAATTTGGTTTTGCATACAATGCTTGAGTTATCTGTGAGGCATCTAAGTGCAAATAGATACCTGTGGCTTGAGGGCAATGGTTAGCTTTTGACTAGAGACAAGAGATCTGGGAGTCTTCCCCACGTAGAGGTTGTGTACAAAGAGTTACAAGTCTGAAGGAAGTCACTTAGGAAGTGAGTACAAAACAGGAAAAGGGAACCCCACATGGAGTCCTCAGGTATAATACATTTGGAAGTCAGCAGAAGAACCTACAAAGCTAACTGCAGAGTAGAGAGAGGACCACCAATAGCAGGGGAGTGCAGTGTCAGGGAAACCAGGAGAGGATGTGCTTTCCGAGACAGAGTAGACAACTGAGCCAGGTGAGGCAAAGAGGTACAATGACCTGAGGCCAGACAATGGCCACTGGCTCTGGTCAGTCCATGCAGTTTGCTGGCAATCTTGAAGTGAGGAGTAGGGCTGAGGAGGAGGAAGAAAGAAGACGTGGAGAATTCCATCAGGTTCTACTTAAATAGAACTTTCATTCATTATTCCTCTACCAGTTCCATGAAATCAGCCAAGAGCTAAATGCTATATCCTTACAAATTTTATAAT